GTATCAAGCTGACAGTTCTCTGATATTATTTTAAATAAGAAAACATCAGCCAAGTTACTGTTACACAACATATCTTATTGTTCTAAAAAACAGACCATATCAACTAATTTTGTTATATCAGAGTTTGGTGCAACTGTGACAGCTAATTAAAACAATGCAGTAAGTTATAATTCTAGTTATTGTTGTCCCGCTCGTACAAGAAATGTTTTATTCTACAATAGTAGAAAAGATGATAGTGTTGTCTTTAAACAAAAGGCAAACGGTCCTTTGGCGTTTGATCGCTTAATGACGACTACAGATCCGCTCACAATGCTAACACGACTAAAACAACGACGTCGACAGGAAGAGAAAGAACATGATAATGATCGTCGTTTAGCAGTGATATGACTTGTGTAAAAATTGGTAAAAAACAAGTAACAAATAAAAAATGTTTGTCATTTGACTGTGATAATGTTCAAACTTTAAAAACAAGACGTTGTCATATGTCTGATTTGAGTGTTGATCCTTCGACACGTAAGGACAGTGATAATAGTCATAGTAATGAGCTAAATAGTTTAAAAACATCGGCAAAAACAATAACAACAAAAAGTCAAAATAAATTAGCAAATACCGAGAGTATCAGACAAGAAAATAATTTGGAAATAATGAAAAGAAAAGAATTCAAACGAGAAAAACATTCACAAACACGTTCAATGGCAGAGCATGAAAAAAATAGGGAAAAGAGGAAACTGGATAAAAAGCGATATTTGTTACTACAATGTGGAATAAAAGATCCAGAAAAACAGTAAAAACAGCGGTTTCAGAATGAAAAAGCAATATATCAATTGTCAAAAAATTTATTTTTATTTCAAGAACATCGTAACAATGTGAAAAATGTGAGTTAAGATGCACGCAAAGCAAAATTTGAGCAGATTGTATTTTTTGTGTTTTTACATATATTGTGATTCACTGCGTCGAGCTGATCACGAATATCACCTTCCGAGCCTCCCAAAACCATTTCTTTATGGAGAAAAACTCAAATTATTGATAGGATTTCAAAAATACAAAAAACTGTCCTCTACGATGAAATTCACTTTTTGAGGTTATATTGCAAGATGGAAGGTTCGAACTATATTTTTCTGAATCAGCATTGAAAACTGATTTAGGAAAATGTTTTCAGTTCGTTTCAGAGGTAAACACTCGTCCGCCATGAACGTCCGAACCAACAGCTGTCAACTGGCTATGACTCATTTTGAAAACCTATCTGGTTTTTTGAGTGAGGGGCTATACCGATGATTCACACGCCATTAGATCGGCCAACACACTACCTTTAAAAATATGAAGGCTTTTTTTACAATTTTGTTTCGTTGCTGAGAAAATTCATTATTCCTAAATCGGAGGCGAAAAACTCGGAATTCTGCCCGTAATTCTCAATTTTCTCAATCAGAACTCAATTTTAGTGCAATAAAAAGATCATATTCTGGATCACGACCAAAAACTGAGTCGATTGATATCTGTTTCTATCATATCCGACTACTTTCATTTTTGTCGAATTTTGGGTGAAAACCTCGGTAATTTTTCACTGTGAAAATTCGACAAAAATGAAAGCAGTCGGATATGATAGAAACACATATCAATCGACTCAGTTTTGATCCTGATCCTGAATATGACCTTTTTATTGCATTAAAATTGAGTTCTGATTGTCGCTGTGGCCACTATAAATGCACTATCAAAAGATTTGAATTTAAAAAGTGGTCTATTGATCGGAATTGAGAGTGAAGCTATTATACGTAAGTTATTATTCGTTCTGATACTAACATCACTTTATTTTTATTTATTGGTAATTTAGCTGCCAATCTTCGATCCCCTCGAAGTCTGATGCTTCAATCGCTGAATCAAAAATCGTCCGATCGATACATAAACCAAACAGATAAACTTAATGATGATATAGCTGAATATAATCGTCGAAGTTTGCCCAATGAATACGAGAAAAGAGATTCAATTGACCAGGATGAACAGGTCCTCTACTGATCGTACGTAATGAAAGTGGTTTTATATAAATATTATATTATTTACTCTATTAGGTACACCATCAATTTTATCGTATAAATCTGAAGTAAGTGCATCTCGTATAAGTCTGAAATATAGCAGTATCAATTCATATACATCGGAAATGGCACTGAATGAAGAAAATAACTTCTGTGAAAAATAACACTTTAAAATCTGATACTGATGAAGAAGTGATAGAAAAAGATATTAAAGAAGTCGAAGAAGAATGTAAGTGATAGTATCAAATAAACTTAATATTGACTACAAAATTCTAATAATGACAACAGTTAAAAGTAATTTTGAACAAGAAGATAAACACTAGTGCACATTTACACATTCACAAAAAGTTTATTTACTTTGTTTATATCTCATAACATCTGTGCTAGACGAAAATATCGAAGATCTGATCTCGATTAAAGGTGAAGAAGAAGAACTGTCCATTGGAAAACTTGAAGAACAACGTTTAGAAAGTGTTACTGAGATAAACAGTGACGATGATAACAAACGAATAACAAAAAATTGGTCATTGAAACAATTACAAGTATCAAAAACGATTGTCGATGTCTATGATCATATGCCCACAATGAATAGAGAATTTAGTGAAGATTTTGAAGATATAAGAGGTAAAATAAAGTCATTATATTCAGATTATTTTTATATCTTGTTAATTAGATGTCGAAACTGCAGTAGACGACGAGGAAGCAGAATCTAGTGAGGAAATTGACAGTAAAGATACGGAACAAGAATTACAGTCGTTGTATGGTTTATTATCAAGTGCTTTGAAGCAAGTAGAAGATATTTATCATTCAAAAGCCACAAGGTTAAGTTTAACACAGGAACTAACACTAATATTCATTACATTTCTTGATATACACAAAGATATTGCATATGAAATGGCTTCGATAATCGTCGATAGTCGAAGTCAATTACCGATAACAAAAGATATTCATTCACATACAATAGTAAAACAAAAATATCGAAGTAAGATGCGAAGTGCTGACGATCTGGATCAAAATGATAATAAAAGTGCTCTGATCGATGATGATGACGAATGGAAAAATTATGCGGACAACAAAATAAGAATCGGATGTAATGAAATTGACGATTCTAAATTTTCCTCAACTATTGAATAATATTCTCATATTTTATTCCAGATGACAGTATTAAAATTATTGAATAGTATAGTGAAGGGAGATGCTAACGATCAACTGAATGTCAGTGACAATAGTTCGAATGAGTTCGGTCAACGACAAAGTAATACTATTTGTCCACTACACACTCGCCATTTCATGACTCGTGTAACCTCGTATTTATCAAAAGCCGATTGGCGAGCGTTTGACTACTTGAGTAAACATTTTTTTCAAAGTGGTAAGTAGTTTTTATTTAATTTATCTGTTTTTGTTTTTTCTACATAAAGCTTATCATGTTTATTTCTAGGCACAATTACAACTGTTCATGCATTAGAATTCTCATCTGCTTTGTTGAACGATCTCATCGAAGAATCCGTGTATAATATTTATTTTCGTACAAAATGGTGTCATAAATTTGACAAGGATGTCATGGAATCATATATCGATAATAGAACAATAAAAGATTTTTTAGTAAAATCTCTCGCTATTTTATTAATTCGTCTAAATTTGATTCACTTACCCCTATTGGAACATATTGTCATGATTAGATGTTTAAAACGGTATTCATGTACGGATTTGTATCAAGGTATCATATCAAAAGAATTTCAAGCTCCTCCTATTAGTTGTGATTCATGTGTTTGGTATTCAACCGATATCTTGATAAAAGCCATATGTTCAATGAAAGATTATATTCTGTCATTTCTTGAATACGATTATCTTTCATCTTATGTTCAGTTTGAATATTTATTGACCACTTATTTTCGTAAAATTCAAATAATTCTCAATATAAACGAGTTAGATCAATACGAGGAAAAAGAACAAAAATGTTTATTGCATGTGATTGATGTCAAACAAGCACCAAAGTTTTTTTCCGAAAAAGCATTCAAACGATTTCAGTTGGGTAAAAATAGTCAATTACACGATTTGGAAGAATTAAAAGATTTAATTCTATTAGATATATCAAAAAAAGTTATAAAGTCTCGAATAAAAGTCGGTATACCATTATCAGAAGCCGATTTAATTTCTAAACATAGCAAACGTGTAATTCGACCAACAATGTCCATTCTAGTGGAACGATTCTCTTTATTCCCGTTGAAAAGTTGTTAGAACGACGTTTGACAATTGACGACAAAAAAAAGTTTGGCTGCTAATGACTTTAGTGCTATTAATAAACGACCGAAAAAAGAATCATCAGCATCCATAACACGGACAAAGATCAATCGTAACAAAGGAGAAGAAGAACAAATATTGTTAATAAACTCTGTCATCGATCAAATTATTGAAAAAGATGAAAATTTAACTAATAATTTGAAAAAGTTAGAACTTCATCGAACAGCAAAAGAAGAAACAATTGATGTATTGATCGATGATGAAGATAAATTAGAAAAATCTGTAGATAAACAATAAGATTTAAAGTCAATTAAAGATTTGTATGGTGAATGTTTTGAACAAATTACACGGGAATTAGATCGTGATTTAACCGGAGAAGAATATTGTAGCTTAATACAGGAAAAATTTAGTGATATTGAACTATCTCTTGGTAAATATGTCTGTTTTTAGACTACATCTCTCATCGATAGTCATATATTCATCAGAAGAGACTTGAGTATGAAACATTCTAAGAAACAGGAGAAGCTGTTGCTGCGTGCTTCAAGTTTTACATTGTTAAGGAATAACTCACATTTTGCAAGAAAACAATATTTTTCAACAATCAAATCTTCTCAAACTGCACCACCTATTACTCTCAGTCCATAAAACGTACTCTCATAGCATTTGATCCTCAGAAAATGGCTCATCAAATACTTCCGATGTTTTTAACAGTTAGTCAACAGGACTTGATTGACTGTTTATTTCTGTACTTAACTGAGAACGCTTACTGTTAATAACATATAATCCCTCTAATCGTTATTTGGTACTACTACCGCTCCAAAATACGGTGGTCATGAGTGTTTTGCAATAACTTTTCACAGAGATGAGATAGCAACCTGCGGTTTTCACTATTAAATAACCAAGACCGTAAGACATGTTTTCGTAAGCAGAAACTTGTTTCAAAATTTTCTGTAAGTTCGATTTTGCAAAGGATCTTTGAAAAACCAGCTCCGTTCTCAGAAAACTAACATACAATGTTACTACTTTTTTGCATGCATAGGTAGTCCGAACGTTACTCTACAAAATTATACAAGTCCCAGCTCTCCAGTTACCGTCGTTCGGACAGGGCTCGCTTTCCGCGAGCACGTGTCTATCTCCGAGTAGACATCTCTGGGAATCTCGAAGTGCCATAGAATATAGGTAATCGACTACGCTGAGTATAGTGGCAACATTTGTTTTTGTGTAGAAATGAAGATAACTTCATCAGAGGTATTTTTGTGAAAAACCAGTTTTTCACCTGTTATTAGAAAAAATTAAAATCCTTATATCTCGGTCAAATCTCATGTTGGCTCAAAGAAATTTTCAATAAAGACTTAAAAGGCGCTATATATTGTTGATCAAGCCGGAAAAGTGGTTCAGCAGAACACTGAGGCTTTGAGGTTTTTCAGAAGGTTTCCGGAAAACCTTAAACCAATGCCCAACTGAAATTCACCTTTTTCGTCGTCATTTATGATTTATGAGCTGTTCTGAGCGTTTCTTAATTTCTGAGATTTTCGTTTGATATGGATGTCGGAGTTTGAGAGTAATGCTGATCGTAGCCAAGTATAACTAACTACTCTCTTATAGAGTACTTTTCAGGGTGTTAGCAGTCCGCAATGGTCTTCTCAGATAGTTGTGCTCCGTCAGTGTAGCAGAGATTACTTTCTTTATTTTCTGCAGAAAAGTATATTTAAAACGAATGTGAACTATTAATCTTCCATTGTTTGGCAACTAACCTTGTATAGTTAACTGTTCCAGCTGTGGTACTGATTGTCCATAACAAAAGATTAGAAGAAACGATTAGAAGAAACAGTCCAGTTTTCAGAATACTATTTTCACTAACAGTGAGCACGATAGAATCTCAGATTATGGAATGAAAAATGGATTAGCTCTGCCCCTTTGTGTAAGGGGAAAACTCTTTTTCGATTCGAGTAAATCAGAAAATCCTACCTTCGAGAATTTAGTTGACATCCTGTCGTTATATTTCTTCCTACGGCGCGCGTAATTCGACATTCGAGCACTATTTTATTTTCGTCCCATTCATAAATCGGCGAGCTGATTAAAAATAACTACGTTTCAGCTTGGAAAAGTCGATATTTGACGGAAAACTTTTTAAAAAAGAAGGATCTAAATGGGTAGTCCCCTATTCTGTTTAAAGGCATGTCTGCGATCAGTTTCAGAAAAAACTTTCGAAAAAGCGTGAATCCTTGGTTTTTAAATTAAATCTGAGAGTGGAAAAGATTGAAGTTTTGAATACTTCATTTATTACATGGTCGTTTAGACCACCGTCAAACAGTATAAATTTTCTAACCGATGACTCAGAAATAATGATGAATCTCTTGTTCTCTTTTTTTCAAGTATTTAACTGAAATTCTAAAACTCCATTCTATGCTCATTCGATAGAGAATTTTCTGCACTGCAAAATCCATTACCTTCTTTCATTACATATTATTTCATTATCATTAGTGTAGAGTAAGAACACGTAAAACATTTAGCTGCGACAGAACGCACATTTGTTTTTTATTTTTTTGTACTCGACGTAATTGGTTATTTAGAAAACTCTCTGTTAGCGATTTATCACAGGTACTTCGAGTAAAGAAATCGTCTTCATTTAATTAATTCACACAGACAAATAATATTTTTCCACATTGTGTCGTTTGGATAGTCCTTTCATTACTTTCTTACAAAATCTCACGTTGTCTGAAAGTGCTAATTAACTTGTGCACTAAAATTTTTACAATTCAGATGATCAAACGGTAAAGCAGCGTAGTCTGGATGATAGCTCTTAATCCGTAGAACATTTCCGTAAAATCCTCTTTTCTCAATTACCATATTATTTCTCAAAAAATTACACAAAAGCTAAAAAAGTCATCCAAATTTTGGTAGTAAATTGCAGTTATACTTTTCTCGTATCTTTACTCTATACTATTGTTTTAGATAATGAAGTAATATGTAATGAAAGAAAATAATAAATTTTGTAGAGTAAAAAATTCTCTATCTAATGAGCATAGAATGGAACTTTAGAATTTCAGTTAAGTGCTTGAAAAAATGAGTAGAAAAGTGTGTCATTATTTCGAGGCTACTGGTTACGTCTGTTTTCATAGTGATTGTTGAAGAATGTTGAGCAATTTTTCGCCGATTATTTATTGGAATTCTATGTCATATTTTGTTTAAGCTTTCTGAATAGATAAACAGTTATGTTAAGCATTAAGAAAAACGAACCTGTGTTTGTATTTGACTTTGCTCATAACCAGTCTAACTAAATTTAACTCGAATGAATTCACAAATAACTAGGAACATAGAGTGCCTCCTTGACTCTTAGTTTGAAGAGCACATATTTGGACTATCACTTTATGTAAAAAGCCGCTACATGACCACTGTAGTTTGTAGAGAACTAGAATGGTATTTGGAAAGCTCTCTGAAAATCCTACTTTAGAAAAGGATTTTGAAATTTGTTTTACCAACGAGAAGACGTCCTCTTGTCTATGGTTAGCAAATGGCAAAATTGGTAGATCTTTTTCTGTTCTAGTTTAAAAGTTATTCAGACAATACTAAGCGACACTATATTTTCAAACAGACAATAATGTTCTTCATGTTTCATCTAAAAACTGCCGGAACGAGTAGGCAAGAAACCATACAAAAGTATCAAGCTTTTAGGTAAGCCGTTGACAATAGTTGTCTGACTATGTTCGATAATTCAGTAACGGACTGATGAGCCAAACAAATCATACATATAGCAGCAATTTCCCAGACACTGTCATCTTTGTCATATAAACATTGGTTCAAAACATGATAGAGATTAATATTCATGAGTTAATGAGAAACGTATCCTCTTCTCCAAAACTATACTTATCTTCATCCACAACTTCTTCTGAACCAATGCCGATCCCTTGATCTAAAAGAGTATGTTAAAATAAATATTAATCGGATAATTTCAACAGCTTGTGCATATTACCACAACTATTGTCCTAACCAACATCTTTAGGAAAAAATAACAGAAATTCTTATTAGTCTCTCGACTCTGAGATTCCAAATCGCTTCCTTAACGAATTCAATTCAATTTTTGAATTCACTAACTACTGAACACCTATTAGCTGATTTTCGCAGATCCTGAATGAAAAAACTTCATGAGCTCCTATTCTTGTTTTAAAGTGAGCATAATATTTGAAAGTTACTGTCAAAAGTCCAGCGCATAGAGAAGCAAAATTTTTCGATGGAAACTGATTTTCATGATAATCATAGAAATGGATATTAGTAATGGCCTCTTGGAACAGCGAAGAGTCCAGCATTTATTCCTAGCCATAATGGTCTAACGAGATACTCATCATGGGTTTAGGAGCACAACCAGGCAGGAAAAGATTTATCAAAGAAATAACATGTGACTTTACGGTCAGATAAAATTCGGCTCATCGAGTCTCACTGAAAATTTAGTGATCGCCATCTTCTTCTACATTAGCTAGTAAACCTATTAGATAAAACGTGAAGATCATCGATATTGCCAATGTTGTTTCAAGCTTAGCGATTACCAAAATGATGAGGAACGAGAAGATTATCTTCAGCATCAGCAACAATTTTAACATCATCGCTAACAGTAAGTCTTTTATTTATAAAGCCAGCATCGACATTTGTTTAACTAATTGCGTCATTTATATTGTTATTACGAGAACAGCAAGGGGGAGAAAACAACACTACACTACTGGGAGAAAAGACATTTGTTCCTAAGAAACAAACGGAGAAAAAGAAACGAGTTTCATAACAACTTGAAAATAACATAATAAGTTTTTTCATCAAGAGTGATTTTTCATCTCTCACACACAGTGTTTGCTTAAAAATTTGAATAGTGAAACTTGTAAGCAAAAATTTCCGTACAGAACCATATCGGCTTGTCCACCGAAGTTTGCTATTGCAAGTGTAATTTAACCACGGTCTTTCACTAAATTAAAAAGGCCATAACTTTTACCGAAAAACGGTGAAGACTCAAGCAACATTTTGTTGGAAAGAAGAGACGAAGTTTTTTCGACTCGGATTTAAGTGATTTTTCAAAAATTTTTAAAAAAATTAAACCCCAAGACGAAAAAATATGATCAATATGTACCTTTCAAGGTCATTTTTTTGGTCAAAGAACATCGAATTCTGTGAATTTTTTTCACCTCAACGAAAGCTTTTGAGAAATTCATTTGAACCCAGTTTCAAAGAGCTTCATCTCCTCTTTCCAACGAAACGCTGCTCGATTCTTCACTGTTTTCTTTTAAAAAGTTATGATCATTTTAACTTAATGGAAAATCGTGGCGGAATCGCACTTGAGGTAGTAAATTGAAATCAGTTGCAGGAAAATGCACTTGTGTTTTACGATTTCATCACCAATTCTTTGTTTTTCAGCACAGTCAGGGGCATTTTCGGAAGCAGCGTCGAAAACTAAGTTGAATAATCTTTGTGTTCATAGTAAAACACGATTGTATTTTTCTGATTCTGCAACTGATTGCACGAAACATTAAGCATGAAAATTTTGCTAATTTTTTGAAAATTTGAGTCTCCCTATTTTCAATAAACCAGTATTTTAACATGTTCTGACAGCATCAGTATTAACAATGAAGATAAAGATACATAAAGATTTTATAATTCGAGACAAGAGCGTTTCTAAGTTCTAGAAATACTTTTAAGTATGCGCTTTTCCATGGACAAAGTTTGTCTTTGATTAGTGTAGATACTCGCGTAGGTTTCTCAGAGATTGATTGTTTTTGTTTCATAATGAAATAAGCGCATATAAAGAGACGCTGGATGCACAACATACATAGTTTCACAATAAATAATCCAGTGCAAGGTCAAACAAGGGCAAAGTATGCAAACAGTACCAAAAATCATTTCAAATCTTGATAATTTAAGTAATCTATCCCATAACAGTTATCATTCAGCGATTTCGATCAGGGACGAGGGGAAACGTACGCTCACTTATTTTAATAAAATGAATTGGAAAAACTATAGTTAAGTTACTCACTACACTTATTCGAGCAATATAAGAATATTCACTCGTGTGACAAGGAAAGTGTCCCAGGTTTCTGATTGCTTTCCGGCTGTGACATATGCTTGCTCGGGTAATTTTTCACGGTTATTACGGATCTGATATCCGTTTGTGTCGTTCGGCCTTTCTTGGATTATTCTCTGAAAATCCAATGGTTTTACTGGACCATCGTATATTGCTTAGAACAAACTTTTCAGACAACACGATACATTTCCGTAGTCGATAACATATGTGTCTATGTATTCCTGAGAGTGCCAGATCGAAATAAAGAGCAGTTGTAGGACTCTCAGGAAACGTCCTAGGATACGGGAACTTTGATAGGTAAAACTTCGGACGTATTTGAAGTTGATGAGCAAGGTTCGGCTGTCGATTCAAACTACTTTTTCTGTTTCCATCCTTCATATATAGTTCTGTTTTGGCAGCCGGAAACCAAATGAATCGTCATAACTTTCGCTTTCATTTATTTTACATTCTATGTGTTCTAATTAAGACGATTTGGTATTCACTAACAGCAGATACTGCACGTCATATTCGAAAAAGAAACGATGACGTCATTTTTCGAAATCTACAAGAATCGTTAGAGAGCGCTGCTATCAACTCTCAAAAAATGCGGCGGCCGATAGATGGTGCCACAAGGGGTTTTAGGTGGCTAGCGGCGCCCTCTCTCGACCCCACTTGGGATACATGTAATAACGATTCATATATTCGACTATTGAAAGTATCAAAAGTCATTTTGAGAAATGAGGAAACTCAAAATAAATGAAACGAAAGAGAATCACCACGATTCATTTAGCTCTTTCTGCAATACGTCACTCGTACATATGGGAAGAAAAAATAACATGGCTACGGTAAACAATATATTTGAATGAAAGTGACTTATGTCGAATATCATCTTATCCCTAGCGAAAAACTCATTTAGTGCCTGTTTGAATAGACGAATCCCAGATGAAACTCATTAGTCACATTCGACTTCGATCGACATTTATGTGCTTCTCAGTCAACCTCATAAATTATGAAAACAGTGTTCACCGTCATCTGTTCGAATAACAAGACATTTCTGTCCTAATAATGCAGCTCCCTTCACACTCTTATCATATGTGAGAGTTTGTTCTAATTTACCATCTCTGTCAATGATATGAAGTTCTTTATTTTTCCACTCATGTGTCAGCCATTGTCCATTTGGAAGAGAGAGAAGAAAACATCCATGTTTCAGCCAAGGAAATGTGATGTCGTTGACGATGTTCATTGATCGATCTCGTACTTGAAACTGATTGGATTGACCATCTACACCCACATTTACTCCTAAATGAGCGCCATCACATGAAAATCGAATATCCCAAATCAGCTCATTCTGTTGACAGGACACAGGTGGTTGCCATCGTCTCATTATTTTCCATTCTCCACTCATATCCCACTCTTCAACAACTGATCCTGTATGATTAAAACTCACCAACAATGTTTGATTTGAACATGTGCATCTGCAAAAGTTTGCTTTATTCTTGTCTGATACTTGTTTGATTTGTGCCACTTCACTGGTCTGGACGTTCAATGAATGAAGAGTGCTCCTAGTCAATATCAGAAATCTGTCAAGGAACGTTGACCAACAGATGCCCCTGACAATCCCTCCGTTCCACCAAAGTGTGTTTGTCTTGTGACCAGTTCGATCAGTCAAACATAGTATGTCTTTCTCACAGTAGAGCAAGTTTATATCAGATACTCCCATCGATCCACAATCTCCATTCACTTTGACCTGTCTTTCTGGTTTGTCTTTGAGTTTGTTGAAGTCAAATTGTTTCATTTCACTGTCTCTCTTCTCACTTCTCTGCAGTGACTTATGACTCTGATGCTCCATCTTTCTCACTTTGATCATTCTCTTCCACTCACACTCATCACCACTTTCGATGACAATCGCCGACGACATGGCCTGCATATCCACAGTCAGCTGCTTTATTTCATCCATCCATTGATCAAGATCATACTCCACAAAGTCCTCTTCTGCCATTCTTGGTCGAATCTCATCTGTGATTCGTTCCAGTTGCTTCTTCGGCTCAGCAACAATGTCTCGCACTGCTTCTCGTGCATGATCAGCAGCCATCTTCACCTTCTTCATCCATTCCAGCTCCCACTTCTCAATCTCATCGAACGCCTTTAAAGTGGTGGTATCACATGTCTGTTCAATGTTTTCTTTGAGAAGGTCAGCATCGTTGATGACGATGTCGAGTTGTGTTGAGAGTTGTTGTCGGTGTTCGTTGAAGTCTTTTCGACAGAATATCTTCTCACATCCTGGACATAGCATGATTCCAGCATGTTTCTGGCAGATATCACACTTCTTTGGTGTTGATGGCTGTTTCGTCTTGGCGGATGAAGTCATGGCTGATTATTGCTAGAAGTAGAGTAAATCAAGTATCAGCTCAAATGGATTGCTAGCCAGTGTTAGTCCACTTGTGACCACCTGAGAGAATAGTATGAGAAGTCGAGGTGAAAATGTGACGATGAGTGTATTGATTGTACTCGACCGATTCTTTCTATTTTATATTGATTCTCTCGTTGCTGAAATGGAAGGTGCCGTATTGTGGGTATTTTTAACAATTATTTTATTCTTTTCTATCGAGTCAGCTCACGAGACAGAATGAAAAATGTATTTAAGCTTTTCGTCAGACTTTGTTTCCTTGACTTTAGTCTAGGGTCTTACGAAATGGTTGTCTGTGTGTCTGTGCGCAAAATACGGAAAAATGGGTGTTAGATATTCTATGGATAAGCGAATCACAAGAGACAAAAATAGAAAATTATT